TGGTGTTTTTTTTTTTTAAACCCCTTTTTTTTTTTTTTTATTCTTTAAAGTTGTGCATCTTTGTCTGCTGATGGCCGCGGGTGGCCCAGAATAGCCTGTGGTTAGCTGGCGGGGCGAGAGTAATTCTTGTTACTTGTCAGCTGTAAAATTTATCACTCATCCGCGCGTCAAAATTATGAAACAGGACCCTGCGTAGTGGTGAGAGTGAGTCGCTCACCTGGCATCGGGCAGCATCTGGCAGTGTGGGAGTGAGGGGAAGGGATGGAGCGGTGCCCTCGCTTGCACCTGCGTCTCATTTATCAGCAATGCGCAGAGAAGTGTTTATTTACGGTGGTGCACAGGGCTGTCGGCTCCGTTTCGGCCGCAGCCGCTTGGGTAGCAGATAGCCTGTCACTTTAGCTGCTCCTGTTAGTAATGGATATTATACAGATTTAATTGAGAAGAAAGTAAATGATATCCACTCCTGTAAAGTGGTGACAGAATTTGATCTTGCTGCTACGGTGATATTTTTATACATGGCACAGTGCTATTCGGCATCGTTTCTGGATGTAAGCTGTTCAAGGCCAAGTACAATGAGGCTGTGAAAACGAGCGGTCTTTGCAACCTCCCTGTATTCATATGCATAAGACTATAATCTCTACACGGGCAGTGTTTTCTAACCTTGTTAGTAAATATTGGGAATACAGCGTCAAAGCCCTGTAGCAGGCGTGAGTTTTTCTGTGCAGCTGAAAGAGCTCTGTGGTGGTTGAGGAGCGACTGTCAGCATGAGACAGCTCACGAAGGCTTGGAGGGAGGCAGTGGGTATTTGAGAGAACTTAGTAGGTTGTACCTGTTTCTTTATAATGGAGAGCAAGCCTGTTAAAGGGCCAGAAAGAGTATTAAATAGAATGGTTTTTCTGTTTTGCAAACTTACTATCTGAGATTTTATTTCCAGTTGTATGGGAGAACCAGTTACTGTATCTGTAATAGATACTCAGGTTTTCTGGAGTCTTGTAGGATACAGTGTTTAGACTTTGGAATGGCTTATGTTAGAAATGACTTTGGATGTCTGAAAATGATTTGGCAAGTTACGTAAGTATTGAGGTATTCTAAGCTAAAAGTGGGGCAAACTCTGTAGTTTTTGATAGCTCTAGGTATCTTTTTTCCCTTTCACTGAAAGGTACAAATTCTAATTTTTACAGGTGACAGGAATATCCTTATTACAGTGCTGTGGTTCTCAATAGGCAGTGCACTCGCCACCTTTCTCCTGGAGCTGCTCAAGCCTTTAAGCCTTCCCGGTATGTAAAGTTTTTGGTTGCTCTTGTGTTCTATTAACACAACAATTTTCTTGCTTTCATCATCAAACTTCCCCTGGCTTCCAGAGCCTGGCTTTTGCCAGGAGCCATTGCACACCACAAGAACTGACGGTGCTCTCTGAGTGGCTGTTTCCACAGGCATGGTAGACTTCTCCGGATTTTGCGGTTGTTTTGTCCTTCGGAGGCTAAGTGGGTTTGCACCTTCTCCTGGGGTGGAATTGACAGCTGCACTGACGTTTATCAGGGAAAGTTAATCCTAATATATGTCTCTGAGAGCTGGAAATGTACCTAAAACATGAGGAAAGAAATGCCTTTGAGAAATTCTGGGCCTTGGATGAAATGACCTGTGACGCACAGAGAGGTCTGGTAAGTTGTTAGCCAGCCCACCGTATTTGGGACGTGTGTTCTCAGAAATGCCCTGGCTTTCCTATGGAAGTGTGCTATGAAACCTCACTGATATAAGACAGTGGGGACTCCCATAGGAGATCCTGCAAACAAGTCCTGTAGTAGGGATAGTGGAACAACCTGTCTCCACATCCCGAGAGGCATTCGCAAATAGGAGAGCTTTGGTTACCTGTGTATCAGTAGTGGTGTGATGAAAATACATCAACAAGATGAAACTTCTCATGTGTTTTAAAGCAGCAGTAAAATAAACCAAATGGGTTAGCTTTCTTCTGCTACATAACATTATTTTGCTGAAGTTTAATTTAAAACAATTCTTGTAAGTGTTAACAGTTGAAGTCCTCACTTCAGGCTAACAAAAATTGTGTACTCAAGGAATTTATTCCTGCT